GTGGTATAAAAAATAATGTAAAATGTCCCTGGTCATTCATCGAGTGAAAAGATAGTTAGGAAATAGTCGTTTTCGTTGCCATATTTAAGCAATATTTCTGCCTTCCCAACTAGATCGTGAATTACTACAGACAAAGATCGAAGAAATAAAGTTATAGTCGCCTCCTTGCTTTGATTTGGCAAACATGCTTGCCTGGATAAATTGTGGTGGTGAAGGATGATGCATGTAGCTTAAATTTAGTCTTCCATCGCTATTGTTTCTCCCCCACTCCGCTGCAGTTGAATTATCATTTTTTTTAGCTGCAAAAAAATATATTAAGAGTATGTTGAATTTTTTAATATTATCATCAAATTCAATTAAATCCAATCAAGTGGACGAACCTTTGAACTTGTAGATTTGACTCGTTACCTAAATTTTTAAATTTAATTATTAGAAGCTAATTAAAAATAAATTATTTATTTAATTGGTTTAAATATAACTTGAATAACAGGTAAAAACATTGTATAATTTTTTTTAAAAAAATTTAAAAATAATATTTTTTTAATATTAAGATGATATTAAATTGAATTGATCTCGATTACTTAAGACATGATTCATGGACTTTAATAGGTTTAATTTTATTTTTATAAATTATTTTTATTTAATTTTATGATAATATTAAATGCTTGCAAAATCAAGTACCAACTCTAAAAAAAGATGTTTAGTTAACATTATGATAACTCTATAAAAAGTAAAAAAAAAAAGCCATGAATTTCATTTCTCAACCAATTTACTATTGAAAAAGAGTGAAATAAAAAAAAATTAGAAAAATTAAATAACCATAAACTAAAAAAAAAATATCAGGTTTGATGGGTAAACTCGTAAAACCCGTGAATTAAATAACTCGGGTCAATACATCAAACCTGCAAAATGGGTAATGACTTTCATTGAGATTAATAACTTGTTTTTTTTAATTATTTTTTACTTAACTATATAATAAAAAAAAATAATTGCAAAATTCAGCGTCAAACTAATATTTAGACCTTTTTTTAAAATTTTGATAACCTTATAAAAAACAAAATAAAACAAATTATGAAACTCAATTATCAATCAGCCTAACATCAAAAGATGAAATAAAAAAATGGATAAAAAAAATTTAAACTTGTCAAACTCATCAACAAAACCATGAATTTTTTAAAATTTAATAACATGTTTTTTTTAAACTATTTGTTTATCTATATAGTAAAAAAAACAAATGATCATATAATCGAGTTAAATTAAAAAAAAAAAGATACTCCACTAAACTCAACAGAACAACCAGAATTATTTCGTTAAACTTGTAAATTAAGTCATTGATTCCACAAAATTTAATAACTTAATTTTTTTAAATTAATTTTTATTTAATTAAACTTTAAAAATAAATTATATAATAGTATTTGTATATTTTTTTTATATCAACTCGATATTAAAATATTTTTTTTAATACTGCAATAGCCATTTAAAAATAATTTGACTAAATTAAAAAAAAAAAAAACAAGAGAAAAAAACAATACTGAGGTGTGGGGAAACAGTGTTTTTCCCAACACTTTTTTGCTTTATACTTATTTAATAATATAAAGTGAGTCAATCGGGCCTGAATCTAAACAAAGAATATTCTTCGGAGTAAAGTATGAAGATCAGAATAAACACTGAACCAGACTTGATTTGTGCTTTCATCATGAGGCACTTGCCTGCCAAAAAAGGGCAGACATTGGCTTTAAACGAGGAATGCTACCTAGCATATTCTTTCTTTATGCTGTTTCAAAAAAATAAAAAATAAAAAATAAAAATTTAATCAGATATTCAAACTTCAGTTTAGCTATAACATGTGGAAGCCATATGTATACATACCAATTTTAAAGTCTCCCGTTTTAATGATATTGTACGACCAGTTTTTTATTAAAAAAAAAGGTTAGAAATTGTTTGTTATTACAGTTAAAATGTTTTTAATTTAAAATATATTAAAATAATATTTTATTTATTTTTTAAAATTTATTTTCAATATCATAGTCTAAAATTAAAAAATAAGTAACTTAAAATAAAAAAAAAATATTTTTTTTTTTAAAAAAAACAAGTTGTAAAACTTCAACTTTGCCGACTGGCTTACCTATGTTTTGCTTGAAGATGCAATCCGACAGGGCACAATTAGAAAGTCAGCGTAACATTAGTGGAAGAAACTCGAGTGATGGGAGACTATAGAGGAAGGACTCTTATCTTGTTGGCACTAATAATAATAATAATAAAATAAAAAAAAAAAACAAAACCCCTCAATTCAACCTCAAGCAATTACTCCACTATCAATTGAGTTTCACACACTTTAATTTTATCAATTAACATTTTTACTCTTATTCATCCATTTTAATAATATTCAAAAGATTTTATTTAATTTTACGTATTTATCAAATACTTCAATCTAAGACATCAAATCATAATGAATTCTTTTCCCTCTCCTTTCAACTAGTTTGAGTTAAAGAAAGATTTGCCATGTTTTGACACTAAATTATCCCTTAAGGCAAATCAATGTTTATTTTCTTGATAGGAAACTTCAAAAAAGCACATGAAGAATTAGATAAAATAGTGTGTTCGAGAGCCAGGTTCCTTCTATTTTTTAACTTTTAAAAAAATATTTTTCCTTAAAAAAATAAAATTAATGTATTTTTAGTATTTTTTTGATAATTTTAATATATTAATGTCGGAAATTTAAAAAATATCATTCTAATGTATCTTCAAATTAGGTTTGAAGAAAACATTGATAAAGTTAAGAGATTTATGACTCAATTGATAGTTGTGTGATACATTAGGGGCTAAATTTGATTTCTCCCCAGTGACTAGTATATTCATTTGATAAGGGCAAATTGGTGATTCCAGTCATATAACTGTTTAACTTAACTCTTTCTCTAGTACCCGCAGGGTGTCTGTGTCTGATACTGATGGTATATTCCGCGATAGCAGTCTCTATATCGTAATGGACGGGACTGAAAATTTAAGCACTCGGAAAAAAACCTCCAACGTTTCAGATTCTGGAGAGAGAAACAAACCAAAACAGCCTTAAACACTTACCAACTAAATTCTAGAGAGATAAAGAAACTGACCCCTTGTTTCCTTTTCTTTCTCCACTGCCTGTCTCTGTCTTTGTTGAATGTTCTCCAGTTCTGTTTATGGCTTGATGTGTGTTATTCAGAGCGGACTTCCTTACTGAATTCTCTGATTTCCCAGTAACTTAAAGCTGCCTCTTCTTCTTCTTCTTCTTTCCTTGGTGCGTGAGAAAAGTCAAAGAACTTGTTTTTATTGCCGAGTTATGACTGGGTTGACCTCTTTTGATTGGCTCACGTAGTACTTTCTGTGGTTTTCTTGGTGGTGTTAGATTGCTGGTGATAGTTTGCACGCATGGCTCCTGTGATGCAAGAAGCTTCAAATGGTACTTTTCTCTTAAACTCTCTCTCTCTTTTCTTTTCTTTTCTTTTTTTATTTTACATGCATGCATGCATACATAATGTGCATTTATGCTATGCCTCATGGTGGGGTTGATGCATTGTTATATGTTTTGGAGGTCTTAAGAACTGCGGTGTGGATTGTTGGTTCTTGTTATTTGAGGTTATATAGTTTTTCAATTTTTTTTCACATATCATATTGTTTTCAATTGCTTTGGGATTTGGAATCCGATTCCTTTGTTGGCTTTTGATGGAATCCAATTCCTTCAGATGTTTAGAAGGTGCATATGTGCTTTATATAGTTTTATTTATGTTGTTAGTTGTTACTTTATGATACTGTTATTGAAGGAAGTTGTCCTGGGAATATGAAGAGAAACATTGTTTAGGAGATTTGATTCTTTCTTTAGGATATATTCAACATGGGGCTAACATTTTCCATATTTCTATACTTTTGCTCTCTGTCAATATATCTGCCCGTGTCTGTGAATTTATGTATGTTTTCATGAAGCATGGTACATGAAATTGAATCGAAGAGTTCTTTCTTTCAGATCGAATGGGGGTAGATTTCTGTTTTCTGGAATTAATATTCTTTTGTTTTAGGGCTTTCACTCATGAGGAAGTATGGCTACGATAGGCAGAAAAATTCATCCATCATTTTTCAAACCTGTCTTCTAAACATTTGTGCCTGCCTTGTTTTGGATTTTCCTACTTTTACATAACTAAATTCTTTGAGAAAAAGTTTACCTTTTAGTGACTTATTGATTTATGGGCTTATATTTTCTTTATATAATATTAACTATAGGGTTTTGTTCTTGCAGGTTGCATGAAGAACCTGAACTATATGCAAAAGGGCTTACTTTTGTCAACTACAGATGGCTATGAGAGAGTTCTGCTTTGAGATATCATTGAGCACATGATCAAGTTTCCTTGAATCAAGTTAAGCTGCAAGAAGTCTGTCTGGTTGACCTGGTCTTATGTTCTTAATCCGTTTAGCCGAGTACGTTTCATGAGGTTTTGGCAATTGGCACTAGATCAACCTGGTAGAAAGTTTGGCTTGAACAGGGCAAATCTTCTTTGGCAATATAAATCTGCTTCCCAAAAGAAGCAAATTTTATTACTTTTTAAGAGTTGGTAGACGGTAGTAGTATTTAAACTTTGAGATTAAGCTCTTTAGGGCAAATCTCCTTTGGCACGGTAACTGAAGTTTCTCTCGCTAGGAAATTCACCTGAAAGTGAATATTCAAGTAGAGTTGATACTTCAGATAGCTGTAATCTATCATCATCCACCAAGAATTCCACTCCGTGTGAAGAGAAGATCTTCTTTGGCATTGAATTCTTTTTTCTCTGTTGAGCTTCATTCCTATCTGCAACAGTTGTGGCTCATCAATTTATCAGCTGTGCATTATCTTCTTTGGAAGTTTCTTCTTGCGGAAGCTTCAGTCCATTTGTTGGGCAAATCTCCTTTGGCATTTGGAGTCCTCGTCGATTCCCGTTATCCCTGTAGGGAAATCT